ATTTAAAAAACTTTGCAAAATAAATTGGAAGATTTACAATTATTCATACATATTTTTACAAGCTTTTATTCATATAAAATCAAGAAGTATAATAATGAGATTATCCAAAATAATAATATTTTTTTTACCTAAAACGGGTTGACTCCGCCCATTTGGACCCAATTCATATTTAACCTGTTACAAAAGGGGTTGAATATGAATTACAACTCATATTTAACCCGACCATATTAAATTATACCCAAATCCAATCTAACCCGCCCATTTACCACCCAATAAAATGATTATGGTTATTTTGTGTATTGAAAAAGCGAAACTAATAATAATGCTGTATAGATAAGATGGTCGAATGTGTTGATAAGAAGAATCAGGTGAGAGAAAGAGCAAAAAGATAAAAAGGTGAAAGAAAAAGAAATTTGCATAGTTCACCTTACTGTGGAGAGATTATTGAATACCCCGGGGGTATGGTACCCCGGGGTAGTGATGGCCATTGGATTATGGATGTGGTGGTGGGCCCCACCACATCCAAGGGTTGGTATGCCCGGGGGTATGTACCCCCGGGGTATTCAATAATTTTTCGTTACTTTGGTCATTCCAATTAAGAGTGGGAGACTTTTATGGAGCAAGAATAACATCTTCCATTAATAATTATATGCTTACATTATGCATTCATTCAGTGTACAAATATTCTTGTCATTAATATTTTTTTTTAATTTTTAATTTACATGACAAGAAATGTTAGAAGTTAGATTAGTAGGCGCAAAGAATAGAAGCCTGACACTCCCAAAATCCACTGGAGGCACTAACCACTGGGCTATCGAGGTATCTATAAGTATTCTTGTCAATGAATTATGTGAATTATTATTTATTTCCTTATTTAATATAAAAATTACTCAGATTACTAATTCCCTATTTTACAGCACATGTAGTCTCACGAGTTAAACCACTGTTGAGATTACAGTCCAAATATTCCTTGCAAAATTGATATTATTATTTTTTTTCCCCTTATTTATGAAAGAACCATATACAGTATTGTGACACAAAGAAGTTTAAACTTTTACCAGAAGGACATATGGTTAGACAAAGAGTATTCTACAGTGAAAATGCCATAACAAACTTCATATCCACTTTATTCTTCCAAATTTTATTTTTTTTTGAATGGTTAAGCAATTGTATTAATATAGTGTATGTACAATATGGCCCATGAGAGCAACCATAGGGCAACAAGAAGCCCACACACAAAAAAAAAACATAATCGTGGGGTTTCGATCTCTTTTGCAAGGCATGGAGAAGAAGCCGCTAATAAGTTTTTGAATTTTTATTTATTTATAGTTGTATATGTAGTCTTTTAATTAAGAATTAGGGTAAAGTACATAAACACTCCCTAAAGTTTGGGGAAAGGCCATGCATGTGAAAGTTGGCCTATTTTTGGACAATAACACCCCTTCAAGTTTGAAAAATGGACAAAAAGACCCTGAAGATGGTGAATTGACCTTGTTACCCTTTGACATAAAATTGACATTTTAATTGACTTAAACACCCTTGGATTAAACCCTAACCCATCTCAAACCCTAACCCGCCTGTGTAAAGAAACCCTCAGCCACCGCCGCCTCATCATCATTCTCACCTTTTCTCCTCTGTTCTCTCTTCCTTCGCCCCAACACCAATACACACACACACACACACACACATATACACACACAGATATATGTATATGTATATACATATATATACACACACACACACACACACACACACACACACACACATACACATATGTTTATACAGGTGGCGATGGTGAATGGATCCGCGACCTTCATCCTTCGATTCTATCAACCCATGAAGCCTTCATTATTCGAATCTGAGGACGCCGACTCCAGATCCGCGGCCCGCCTTTGATTCTGTCGACCCATAGAACCCCATAGTTGCCTTCAATTCCATCAATCTTTGGGCCCAAGCCTAATCCTCCGACTTTGCCGCCACAAATTTCCAGCGTAATCGATCCCTACCTCCACAAACACATGCATGGTAGATCGCTGCCGGAATTGATGGGGTCACTGGAATCCTTGGAGCCCATAGTTGCCAATGAGGTAAGTGCGGCAACTGTGACCCTATTAGTCGAATTCCCTTTCTATAGTTGTAGCCTAGGTCGAATAGGCTGTAGCAGTAAAGAGTGGGACAGAAGAAGCCGAGGAGACTTTTGCCTCAAGATCAGAAGTTGGAGTAGCGAGATGGCGATTGTTTGCATCATCCACTTCCAAAGAATCTTTCTTTCTTACATGGCGGGTAGTGAATAAGTGAGGGTTGTGGTGTTGGTTTTATTATGGGTAATGAGTTAATGGTGGTGGTTATGAGGGTGGAGATGGGGATGGTGGTGGTATTGGTGCTAGATCATGCTAGAATATGCTGGGGTGGTTATTGGGGTGGGGATGGTGGCAGTGGTTTGGGGGTGGGGATGGTGGTGGTGGTGGTGGGGTGATTATGTGTTGGTGGTTTTGGAGTTTGGTGTGGTGGTTGTGGCCGGCTAGAATATGGTTGATTGGGTGCTGAGGGTAATTTGGTCATTTAATTATTTTGATATTGTATAATTAAAATTAATAAAATAGTGAAGGGTAATGTTGACTTTTCACATGTTTTAAGGCTCTGTTTGGCTTGCAAATTTCATAAGGGGGTGTCATTGTCCCAAAACAAGGTAAATTATATCTGACTATTTTTTAACAAATCTCAGAAAGTGTTACGGTATTTTACCCTAAGAATTAAGTAGTCACATTATTATTCGTCATTTTCAACTACGTTCAAAATATGAAATCTTGAATTACATTTATGATGTGCATTGAAAACCTATATGTATATTACTAGGAGTACATGTTCCACCCATAAAGTCAATGCAAGGTTGATGTACATTGATTTAGAAAGAAACAACCTGGAAGTTGCAACTTAAACAAAGGCATCAACAACCTTTGTCATAAACCAGACAATAAAGTATAAATTATTTGCAAATTGTCACAACTTGAGAATCTTTTAAAACATTCACGTGTATAATTATTCGTATTTTTGTTAATCAATTTCAACAAAGAAATTATGTATTAATATTGACTGACTTAAATGAAGGTTATGAATGCAGTACTTTATCATCTTTTAAAATAAAAGAGGAATCAAGGTTTTACAGTGGGGCAAAGAGGGTTTAATACTTCGTTTGGTAGGATGGAGGATTGGAATAAAAAATATTAAAAAAATTCATTCCTTTGGTAAAAAAGAGGTAAGGAGAGAAGAGAAAAAATTATGGATGAATTATTATTATTCCTTCATAAATTTTCATTCCGAGAAAAAGAAAAAACACATGACTGTTATAAAAATTTTATTATTTAAAAACTTTTTTTATAATTAACACTCTATCCTCTTCTCTTTTTAACAAACAAAATAAGATATTATCTCATTTTCTTCTTTTATCTCCCGTTTAATCAAATAAAAAGATGAAATAATATAATTTCTTTCGCAAGAATATCTCATCCCTATCTTTTTTTTTTTTTAATTCAATTTTCTTCCTTCTTACCAGGTGAGAATTAAAGGAATTTTATGACTGTTATATGAGTTTGAAACGGTGTCATTCTGGTGGAATAACACAAGATTCTATCGCCACATGAGGTGTAGAGATCTGAATCCGCAATGTTAGGATCAAATCAACACCTAACATGTCAATCTCAATTATTGACATTGTTTGATTATTATATATACTGTTGTATTCATCGTGCTTGGGTTTTTCACATTTTTCTAATTGAACCACGCATGCACGTCACTTTATTGTACTGTTGTATTGTATTCATCGTGGTTGGATTACTAATTCCCTATTTTACGGCACATCGTGGTTGGGTTTTCTGATCTCTCAGAAATCAGAATCCACGCGTCACTTTTATTTTTCCATCTTTCACCTTCTTTCGCCACTATGGTGGATCTAAAAAACCAAGGGCGGAGCGGTGAAGTTATTTACTTATAAAGTTATATAGTACTACCTCCGTCCTAAAAAAAGTGTTGTGTTTCGGAACCGGGACAGTTCAATTTTTATTTTTATTTATTTACTATTATTATTATTTTTTTTATTTTTTTTATTTTTACTTTCATGCATAATAATATCTTGAACTTACCCACCTAAATTTTCTCCATTCTATAAGAGCATCTCCAAGACTCCATTGGTTGTTATATATACATATATATATATATAAATTCAAGATTTACACAAAAATTTAGAACTAATTATTTTTAACTTCAGTCATTAATCATTATTTATAATGATATACCCTTATGATAATTTTTATGATTTAAAAAAAGATCGAATTTATATACTTATCAGCAAAAAAAAATAGCTTGCTATAACATCACTAAAGAGACGAGAGGTAAAATACGGGAAGTTTTTATAGGATGGAATTAACTTGATGAAATTATTAATTTAGAATTTAGAGTTAAATATTTTTTATTTTTCTTTTCTTAAATTTTATAATAGTTTTTCAATTAACTTATAATATATTTTAAATGACATTGAATCCCATTTTTAAAAATATAATAATAATTACAAAATTACCATATTGTGTCTGATAGTATTCAAAACGTATTTGAACTATGTACCAAATATGTTCAATAAAACAAAAAAAATTATTTAAATTTTAAGATACTTCTAATCCAATGTTTGGACTGTATTTGCATGTAGTATGTCAAATGCGAACCCAATAGCCCCATGCACATGCACCACCCTTAAGTGAAGGATGTGTGCTTCACACTGTCTTGCATTCGCATTGTGTGGTGATGAATATTATAAGTGGGCCGGGGTGGACAAATGGAAGAAACGTGTATAATAATTATTGTTAGAGAGGAAAAATGGGTCGAGTCTTTCTAGGTCGTACTACGTGATTGTCCCCCATGCATGCACTATATAAACCAACATAAGGGTGAAGCATTTGGTGTATCAAATTTGAAACAAATCTATATATCAATTAAGCTGTTTAGTGATCATGGCAACCCTCTTCCTTTCCACTCGTGCCTTCTGCACTCTCCCGACTACTAATTTCAATAGCCCTTCTTCCGTCACGAGATCATCCACCTCCACCACCACCACCACCACCATCAGCCGCCTTGTCCCGTCTACTCTAGGGAAGAGGAGTTCAACTACTTGTCCTTCGGTCATGGGATATTCCCTCACCAGTTCCCGTCCTGTCCTCACTATGTGTTCCGCAACTCCCACTAACTTTGTTACTGCATCTGTAGAGAAGAAAGAAGTAAAACGTAGCGATTTTCCGGAAGATTTTATTTTTGGAGCAGGATCAGCTGCCTATCAGGTATTGCACTTTTGGCCACCTTTAATTTTATAATTATTCTACTTGAATTAAGTACTAACTTAAGTATATACAAGCTTCCTAGTTACTTACTAAAGTCTTCCGTGTGTGGTGTGTGTGTGTGTGTGTGTGTGTGTGTGTGCGTGCATGCATGTGCATTGTGCTGTGCTGTGCCTTCTTATTGTTTCGTTTGTTTACAAATTCAGGTTGAAGGTGCAGCAAGTGAAGGTGGCAGAGGCCCTAGTATCTGGGACACTTTTACAGATCGATTCCCTGGTCTCTCTCTCAAACTCCAATTAAAAATCACACACAAATCACTCAAAAACTAGTATGGAATTCATTTCTCAAGCATGGTGTATCTTCTTCATTTCTCATTCAAATTTGAATTTTGAAAATGATTAGCGCGGGATTGCCCTTAGATAATCCTCCATGAATAGCGCTAGTAGTACTCCTGAAGAGATGAAGGGGAAAATCACACCACGGAATCTTTATCAAATGAAGCTATGAACCAAAAGTGAGAGAGAATTAAACCACATTATATATATATATATATATATATATATATGCTAGTGAAGCAACTCCAATATGGCCAAGAAATCGAGAACACCACATTAACCCAGCTAGCTAGCTTCTAGTTCTTGACTTATTTCTCTAGAAACCTAGAAGCTCGATCCCCTTCTCTCATTACATAAGAAAAATAAATTCTATGAAATATATATTTTTTATCTCTCTCTCTTACTTTTATATATGACAAATAAACAACCAAAAATTTTACATTTGTTTCGATATAAATTATATATATTTTTTTCAAAGAAAATATTTTTTTAATTTTATTTTGTCTGTGTTTGGTAAAGGTTTATGTTGAGATTGAGATCGAGTCCATCGGACAAAATATGTAAAATAACTTGCCGAAAATTGATGAATAAGTTATTTTTATTAAATTTTAATATTTTTTTTCTTCATAAATATTTTACGACAACCAAATACCAAAACATAAAAAAATATTTTACATCTAAACAAATGGACAGACATTATTTTTCTTTCATTAGATTGCAAACTAAAAGACCCTTAATCAATGGATCCTAAAAACGCAATCATGCATAGTTTTCAATCATCTTTCCATACAATAGCATAGTGAATATTTATTATTTCCTATTTCAGGCAAATGACACATGTTTATGGATGGGAGTATTATATTGTTGATACACATAGGATATATATCTAACAAACTTTTAACAATATTTGCTTATTCATGTGGAATTTTTCGCTTCACCAACAATATGACATAATGATAGAATGATATGTGTTTAATTTGAATTCAAAATATATATAAAAAATAATAATTTTCCTTTTCTTATATTTTAAATTCAAAGTGGACAAGTGCTGATTTATTATTATGTCATATCGATGGTGAGGAGAATAATCTTACTCATCATGAAGGAGACAAATATTGTACACAATTTTTTCAAATGAAAATGAGATCAATCCAATAATTCGATGAATGTTTTGTAAGTGAATCCATACCCAATTTGTTAATAAATGGGTATTCGATCCGATTCGATAAAAATATAATTTTATTTTTTATAAAAAAAAAAAATAGAAAAAAATTAATATCAAAAGAGAATAAAAACAATGATTAGAAAAAATGACATAAAACAAAAGAAAAATAAAATATGGAAGGAAAAGAAAAAAAAAAAAAAATTTGATCATTTACGCTTTGTTAATGAATAAATACCCCGGGGCTTGGATGAGTTGGTAAGGACTTGGCATATCACTTGGCTAGTGTTCGAACCTTGCTAGCCTCTATTATCACCCCCGATTTATTCGGTGTATCTTTGGGGCGAGACTCTACACCCCATGTTTGTAGCTTAGGGTGGATTTCAAAGGGATCCTGCATAAGGAAGTTTCTGGTGCTAACTAAAAAAAAAAAAAATGAATAAATATTATGACATTATTAATATATACATTAGGAGATTTATTAGTATATCGGTGAGAACACCACGTTATTGTACATATAATAATATGATTGCTTTTATTTATTTATTTATTATTATTACATCAATATAAATCTGATATTAGTGACTAGACAGGATCACTACTGTGAGTTTTTTTTTTTTTTTTGGCGAGTGACTTTTGCAGCTTGCATGTGAAAAAAATACATGTATGCACACGCATATATAGTTGCTTTTTTCCTTCTTTTTTTTTTTTTTTTTTTTAATTGTTGAAGCATTATGGTTATACATGAGACGTCTTGACAATATTTATCATAAAATTACAGAAAAAATTGCAGACGGTAGCAATGGAAGTGTGGCCAACGACTCCTATAATCGATACAAGGTAAATCAATAATTAGTTAAGAAAATTTACTACAAAATAATGTCATATATACATTATTAAGTCTGAACTATATATTAGATTATTTCATTAATTCGTACATTTAATTTGAATTATATAGCACAAGTTTGATTTAACGTTCACTTTTTTTTTTTTTTTCTCTAACCATGTTGTAGGAAGACGTGCATATTATGAAGAATCTGGGTCTCAATGCCTACAGATTATCAATTTCATGGTCTAGAATATTGCCAAGTATGAATCAATCTTATATATGTATTTATAAAGATCTCATCTCAAGTGATTAAAAATCCGAGACAATATATATTCAGTGACAGAAAATGAATTTGACCAAGCTTAACATTGTTACATTTGTTAGGACACAGTCAATAATTTTTGTCTAGCTTCTTTTCCGGCTAATGAAAAATATGTATCGAAGAAAAAATCTGTAGTTATCCAAATTAAGCATTTCATACAAATCTATCATATATATATATACATATATATATAGTTTGATAATTGATATATATTCTAATTTTAATTATTATTGTGATTATTTATCAGCTGGAAAGCTAAGTGGTGGAGTCAACAGGGAAGGAATCGACTACTACAATAATCTCATAAACGAACTCTTAGAAAACGGTATTCATGAATGAATGAACCTGAATTCCTTTCTAAAATTTTATTTTACTTCTGCATCAACTTGCATAGTTTTAATTTGTCATCTCAAAGTATATGTTTGTGGTGTGTATATATATATATATATGCACAGGTATAACACCTTTTGTGACTCTATTCCACTGGGATCTTCCTCAAGCCTTAGAAGATGAGTACGGAGGTTTCCTTAGTGAAAGAATTGTGTAAGTGGCTCAGTTTAATTCTATCCATAATCCATCGACTATATAATTAAATTTTTTTGGCCGGTATTTGTGAACATTTGGAGTTTAGGATAAAAATTATAATAAACAGATGGGAAGTTATATATGGACACCATGTCGCATTTCAAAATGAAACAGATTCAAAATATAAGGGTTTTTTTTTTTTTTTTTTTTCTTTGGCTGTTTTAATATAGCAAATAAATAAAATAATGTTGATCTTTATATCAACATAACAGGAATGATTTTCGTGACTATGCAAACCTTTGCTTTTGGGAATTTGGTGATCGGGTACAGAATTGGATCACGCTTAATGAGCCATGGAGTTACTCTGTTTTTGGACATCACAATTGTGCACACCCACCGGGTGGATATTATCCATGGCATTTGAAGAGTCAATTGAACATGTACGACGTGACGCATAACCTTCTTCTTGCTCATGCAAATGCAGCAGATTTGTATAAGAAGAATTATCAGGTCAATTTCCATGCGCCTTAATTAAATTTTGTGTTCATCTTCTATATCGACAAAAAAGAAAAGAAAAAGAAAATGATAATGTTGATATTGGTCCGAAATTAAACTGTTGTGATTAAATTACATACTAATGATATTGAATGTCAATAGAAAGTTCAAAATGGCAAGATCGGGATTGTGAATGTGACATGCTGGTTTAAGACTGCTGAAGGTCATGAAGACGCTGGGGAGAGAGAAACCGATTTCATGTTAGGATGGTGAGTATTATATAAATACTCGTGTATGTTTCATTCGCAATAGTGACTACTGTACCATCGTTTGGAATTGTTTTTCAATCAATTTGCCGGACCTTATTTCTCCCCACCTGGGTACGGTAAGTAGTATGATAACGAAGGTGTGGCCCCAAGTTGTCGTACCTCTGCTTCCTTAATTAAGATCCGACTTGTGAGAGCGGTCAATGAACCTACCAGAAAATGCAACCGGTTTCAAGCTACGGAACCGGTTCCATTTCGATAGTAGCCCAATTCCGAAACCCAAAATGTAATGCAACTTTTATTGTGCGAATAATGACTTGAACAGACTCAAACGGACCAAAAATAGATAATAAGGGTCCTGCTGGCAGCGAACTGCAGAAGTGAGTTTTCCGGGTATTTTATCAAGTTATGAACACATAATAAGATACGCCTAAACTATCAGGTTATGGGCACATAACAAGATACGCTCAAAATGACAAATTTGCAAATTCTTGAAAAAGGAAGGCAATTCCATTGGTCTCCTTTTCCAAATCTCAAAATCGATTTCTCATTTCATGTTCTTTGTTTCTTCCATTTTGTTCTTCAGGTTTATGAATCCATTGACAACAGGGGAATATCCAAAGAACATGAGAGATAGAGTGAAAGATCTTCGACATTTCAGTAAGAATGAGCAAAAGTTGCTAAAAAATTCATGCGATTTCATCGGATTGAACTACTATACAGCATATCACGCACTCGACAAAAAAATATATCAAGAATCTCATGGTAATGGTGTTGAAGATTCACCTGATTATGAAAAACCAGTTGTTTTCCATCCACTGTCTGATGTTTTACTTACAGGTATATAATTAATTAGTTCTAAACTTCTAATGCAATTTTAATTCCGTACGAACTCAAATGATCGAATATATATTTGCTTGTAGGTCGTTGGAAAGGTGAAGCAATTGGTGAAAAGGTATGCCTTCAAGTTTTGTCAACCTCTACAAAATCACGTCTAACCATCATTTAATATGAATCATCATTTAATCAAGTATTTATCTTATACAATTAATTAATTTGATAATGTTGCAGGCTAATTCATGGCTTAATGTCTGTCCAGAAGGACTTGGACATGTTTTGCAAAAACTTGCGAAAAAGTACGATACTAAGCTTATTTACATTACGGAGAATGGTAAGCCTTAAATTTGGCAAGGTTAATTGTGTGTGTGTGTGTGTGTATATATATATATATATATTGGGCAGAATGATATATACCAGATATATTACTACCCTAGACATAGGTATGAATTAAGTCAAATACTTCTGTTTCTCTTATAGGGGTCTGCGACAAGTCTGATGTAAAAGGCACAAATCTTTCAGAAGTCTGCAATGATAAGATGAGGAAAAAATACATCCAAGATCATCTTCTTCAGATTAAAGAAGCAAGAAAGTAAGTTCTTGAAAAAAAATCCGTTCTCTTTATTTTGATGCGATAAATGTTATACTACGGTATTAATGATTTAAAAGTTTAGACTAAATTAATAATGAAAATTGTGATACATTGTTTAGTTATTATATTTTTGTACATCAATTATATATATATGACTTGGATATATTTTTTTAATTTTAATTTTTTTCATTTACGGACAGGGATAAAGTTAATGTGATGGGATACTTTGTTTGGTCTCTCATGGATAATTTCGAATGGGGTGATGGTTACCTTACCCATTTCGGCCTCATTTACGTGGATTACAAGAATAATTTAACCAGACACCCAAAAAACTCGGCTCTGTGGTACATGAATTTTCTCAAGGGAGGGTCTCCGGTAACTACAATACCAATGGAGGCGGCGAAAGAGTCTCCGGCGAAAGAGTCTCCGATCCCTTACAGTACCAACGGAGTACTGCCAGAGACGGTAGTGCTTCCGAGCTAGGCTGTCAATAAAGGGACATCAAAACTCCAATGCCAATAATCTAACAACTCTCTTTCTCATTTTCCAATAAAATAAAAGTGTTTTCCCCACTTTTTTTTCCGGAAAAAAAAAAAGAAAAGGAAAAAAAATGGTTTTTGTTCCTTTCTGTTGGTTGATGATATGTTTGTGTCATATACATATATATATATATTTGTGTGTTTAAACTCAAGCTAGCATTCCTTTTGCTTGATCAATATTTGTAAGGGTTTGTAAGTTTGGGGAGGGCTACCTCCTGCTGTGTAGCCCATTATCGTCATTTCATTTATCAATATCAAATGATTGAACAACTTGAAGCAATTTATTTACGAAAATTAGTTGACATTCATAAAATGAATCTGATGAATTATGAGTTCATTCCTTTCTGTTGGTTGATAATATGTCATATATGTGTTTAAACTCAAGCTAGCAGTCCTTTTGCTAGATCAATTGTGAGGGCGTTTAAGTATGGGGAGGGCTACCTCCTGCTGTGCAACCCATTATCGTCCTTTCATTTATTAATATGAAAGAATAACTTTGGTTATCAAATGATTGAACAATGGGAGCAATTTCCTTACCATAATTAGTTGGCATGCGCAAAATGTATCTAATGAATTATGAGTTAAATACATTCTATTTAGCGAAATGCCCGAATATTCCTTACTCATTACCAGAGAATTACTTATTCACAAACATGAAAAAACTCTTTTTGCTCTAATTTGCCTTATCCTCTTCATAGAATATTTTAGTGATGAGTTCAATAGAACTCGACCATTTATATGGTCAAACCAATAAAAAATACGATCAAACTCAAATTTCTTTAGTTACTATAAATTATTGAGTTGCAAATTATACAAGTTGTGACTGGGGTAATGCTTACCTTACCCGTTTCGGCCTCATTTGTGTGGATTACAAGAATAATTTAGCCAGACACCCAAATGATCGACTCAGCTCTGTGGTATATGAATTTTTTCAAGGAGGGTCTCTGGTAACTACATTACCAGTGGAGCGGGCGGAAGAGTCTCCGATCCCTCTACCTCCGATCCCTTTCAGTACCAACGGAGTAGTGCCAGAGGCGGTAGTGCTTCAAAGCTAGGCTGTCAGTAAAGGGACATAAACTTCAATGCCAATAATCTTTCAACTCTCTATCTCATTTTTCAGTAAAATAAAAAAATGATTATCCCCACTTTTTTTCCGAGGGAAAAAAAAAAAAAATTCCTTCCTTTTCTGTTCGTTGATGATATGTCTGTGTCATATATATTTGTGTGTTTAAACTCAAGCTGGCAGCCCTTTTGCTAGATCAATATTTGTGAGGGTTAGCCTTGCTTTGTAGCCCATTTTCCTCATTTCATTTATCAATATCAAAGAATAAATCTGATTATCAAATGATTGAATAATTCGGAGCAATTTATTTAGGATAATTAGTTAAAATTCATAAAATGTATTTGATGAATTATGAGTTCACTCCTTTATGTTGGTTGAAAATATGTCTATGTCGTGTATATTTGTTTTTAAACTCAAGCTAGCAGCCCTGTTGCTAGCTAGATCAGTTGTGAGGGTTTTTCTAAGTATGGGGACTGGGCGGGGTCATGAGATGAGAGCGGGGGTGGCATTATAGCGTTCATATATTTACTTATATGTATTTATTCCACTTAAAAAATTATCACTTGAATTTATTAAATATTTTTTTGATGATTTTTTAATATAAGAAAATTAAAAATAATAAACATTTATTTATAATTATATTTATTAGTTATATGAAAAAGTTATATATTTTAACGGATAATGCTTAGCTACTTACCGGTGAGTAGCTCACCCTACTCACCGCTCACGTGTTCCAATAACAACATACCACATCAGCTTTAACAACCAAATAATATTTTCTTAGATCAACCATTAAATAACTTTTTTATTAAAGCTGATGTGGTATGCTGTTATTGGAACACATGAGGGTTAAGTAGGGTGAAGCTACTCACCGATGAGTAGCTAAGTATTATCTTATTTTAACTATGTCAATTATATCACAAGTTCAACAAAAATAAAATAAAATAATTATTTCACAAAAGTATTAAGAGTTTGCTTAGTTGTTACTTGTTAGTATATGTTGGGCTTGCTTTTTATTACTAAATAATGAAGGGAGATGATATAGGAGATGATATACACGGGCGCTCCACTCTTATATTTAAATAATTAAAATGACAAAAATAATCATGTACATTCCTTCTTCAAGGATTGTGTACTCGCATCTCTCCTTTCCCTTATCTTTTTTCTCCATCATACTCTTATGCCCCTCCTTATTTATCCATCTTTCACCTTCTTTCGTCACCATAGTGGATCTAAAAAACAAGGGGCGGAGCAAATGAGGTTAGTTTACTTATAAAGTTATATAGTACTTGTTGATACAAAAATTCTCGTGACCTAGAACGGTAAGGACGGTAGGATAACGGCCGATGACCCTCCGACGATCAAGTTAATACTTGTAATCGTATAGCAGAAGAATTAAATATATATTGAATGTTTGAGGGCTTTTTCTCGTACCTCATTAATTGTCACACAATGGATTTATTGTCATCCTCAGGATCAGGTTGGTTACACAAATGTCGATCAGGAATATTTGAATGAGTTGAATCGTGATCTTCATTCACCAACTGAATGACAAAGGAGTCGTCATATTTACCTCCTGCATTCTAGGATTTGAAAAACGGACTACGATTATCTTGGTTGGTCAACTTCAAATTATTTTATCCTTATCAGATGCCCCTTATTGTTTCGAATGGACTAGGAAATATCAAAGTTTTATTTATTTTTATTTTTATTTTTTTTACCCCGTGATACTGTTCCAAGGTCAACAGTACCTTGGGGTACTGTTCCCGAGGTTTTTTTTTTTTTTTTTAATCTCCGGTTACTTGCAAAATGTTATGAAAAGACGTGAGTCCAATCCTATACTCAACAACACCGATGTACGGTGATGGTTGGATTCCCTTTGGGAATAAACACATTATATATATATAAGTGTGTTTTACGAGCTTTACTTAACACGTCACTTTAATAAGAGAACAAGTTTTACGAGCTTTACTCAGCTCGCCCTTTTGATAAGGGGAGTAATAATTTCGAGCTTCACCCAACTCACCCTTTTAATAAAGGGTCTAATTTTTACGAACTTCACCCAGCTCGCCCTTTTAATAAGGGGATGTTTTACCCGAGTTTCGTGAGCTTGCCCTTTAATAAGGGAATAGGCTTTTCTTTTTCCCTTTTCTTTTTAGCTTCATGAGCTCACCTTTTAATAAGGGTGTTGTTTGTGTTTGAGATTGCCTTTGTGAGGTCATAAATTAATTCCTCTATCCCGTTTCCTTGGAGTAAAGTAGTAATCATGTCTGATATAAATAACATGGGTCAGACATGGGTATTAACTTATCTACAACTATCTTGAGATATTAGTCATATTATTCGACAAAGCATCGGCTGCGTGAGGAATTGGTGAAAGAGACTAGACTTTGACTGGCTTTGTGTACTAAGGTTGATGCGTCAGACTTTTGAATCTTACCATCATATGTAGATTGTTATCTAATTGATTGTTATCACGTGATTTACTGCTCTACCCCTAGTGTGATAAATTGGGGGATCTTGAACGGGGACCTATTCTGTAGGTACATAACTTGGCATCCTAGACAGACGATGGCCTGGTGACCTCTAGATGAGTGCCTCGTTGGATGTGGGAATCTCCCTGGACTTAGATAACTCCTTGGACATGGGGATCTTGAGAAACATTCTTGAGTGTACAAACCACCTTAATGGCATAAATGAACGGAGTAGTGGGACTTCACTGTTGGTAGAAACCTCCTTAGTGGTAGAGGCCTCATTGGTTGGTAACAGTCTCTTTGGTGGATAGAGACCTAGTTGTTAGTGGAGACCTTGTTTTTGGTAGAAGCCTTCTTGGCGGATAGAGATCTTCTTATCTTGGTTGAATCTTGCCTGCTTTGGTGATAGACCTTTCTTGGTCTTAGTGAGAGACATTGCTCGGCTCTTGTGGAAGACCTACTTGACCCTACTTTAGTGTGAGATGTCGGTACAAGACCTTCTACTTGACATGGCCTTGGGAGACTTGATTCGTTTTGGCTTTGTAGGGCTTGATGTAGGCGACCAGACCTTAGTAGTGAAGGTACCAAGCACTGCCAAGTAGGAGACACCAGACACGTCAGTCTGGTGCCTAGATCGATGTGCTAGACTTTTGAGTACCGCTATCATACACAGGGTGGCATCACGCGACTTACAGTTTTGGCCCCAATATGATGGATAGAGGAATCTTGATGTAGAAATCCGTCCTTTTATAAGAGCAGGGAACTCGTTGTCGTGACACTACACAATAGATGCTTTCAGGACGGTTTCCATGATCGGAAACCTTCGTCTTGTCGATCGAGCTGAATCGCGTCAGAATTAATATTTCTTCAGGGAACTAATCATTTTCCACAGACGGCGCTAGCTGTTGATGCGAAAATCCTCATGACCCGGAACAACGACGTTTACTTACAAAACAACGAGATGTCACCTCGAATGGCACCGGTTTGGTGCTGGCCGAGGACTCTCCGACGATCAAGTTAGTACTTGTAATCGTATAGTAGAAGAATTAAATCTGTATTGAATGTTTGAGGGTTTTTTCTCGTACCTCATTAATAATTGTCACACGATGTATTTATTGTCGTCCTCGGGGTCAGGTTGGTTACACAAATGTTAATAAGGAATATTTGAATGAGATGAATCGTGATCTTCATTCACCAATTGAATGACAGATGAGTCATCATATTTACCTCCTCCACTCTAGGATTTGAAAAAGGGACTCCGGTTATCTTGGTTGGTCAACTTCAAATTATTTTATCCTCATCTATACTATTTTAAAAGACAAAAAATAAAATAAAAAAATAATAATAAAAAAACTTTCTTGCATATAATAATATCTTGAAATTGTTCCTCTATTTGTCTTCATCCTA